TTTGGGTCTGCGCCTTCGACGAAGTTATACAGACTCTTGCTCTTCTTGTCCGTTGTGAAAAATCTTTCATGGACAAAATCTTCTGGTATAGCAGTTCTTGCTTTTTCCCAGATGTTTTTGAATTCTTCTATGCCGATTGTTGGATAAACGACCGCATTGTGAATTTCTTTAGAAATCAATTGAGGTTGATCTCTACGTTTTTCTTTGACCGTGTGAATTCTTGGTCGAAGAAGTATCTTTTTGCCGCTAGGCTCTTCATCTCTGTAGGTGGCTAGATGAATTTTTGCACTGGTTTCATTTCGGAACTTCTTGCAAATGACCTTATCGGTTTTGCAGTAGGATTCGACGAGCTTCCAGTCTGTATGAACACCAGCATGTGGACCTTTGTAGATTACATAAAATACTTCAGGTTCCTTCTGGAGCGCTTTCAGATAGTCTGGGATAAGTTCCAGCGTACCTGTTTTGTTAGCTGACAAAAGTGTCATTTTGTTGATTCCTTCAACGGAGGGATTAGAATTGACTAATCTACTATATTTGCCCGTCACGGGATCAGGATTAGTAATATCCTTACTGCAGATAGCTCTATAAGGAGCATTTGTTTTTTCATCCTCAAAGAATTGAGGTCTTCCATTTTTACAATTTTTTGTAAAAACTATTTCTTTTCCTCTAATCTCCCCCTTTCTTTTTGTAGGTGAAGTTCCCATTTTTAGAGCTTCTACAACCAATCCGAATCAACGGACTCAGAAGAATATCTGAAAAGATCATTGAGGTTCACCCAACTCCCCCTGGCAGGCTGGCGTTCTGCCAAAAAACATCTAATCCTTCATCAAAATTCAATTATGAATTTTTGTCAAAGGATCACCATTCAATTGGGCATCATACGATTTTTGAAAGAAATACCACTTTAAGTAGGTATTAATTTAAAAATCATAGGTACAAAAATGCATCTACCATATTCGGTAGAAATTATTGGCAATTGCCAACCATTTCTAGACATGACTCCAACAAAAATCCATTGTGGACTATTGGATAATTTTATGTCAAGATGTTCATCATCATTTATTTGATTCATAAATATTTTAAAATCATATTCTTATCACATGGTTGATATAAAACGATTTTGAAAAAATACTACTTCTTAGTAGCCAATGATTTATTTCATAAACATTTTCTTTTTCAGTAAAGAAAAATACAGATTGCTCATACAATCTTTAAAAAACAATATCCCATTCTTTAAAATTGGGTAGGAAAAGAAGACTAGACTTTGGTCTAAACCTTCAAAAATTCAGGAATCGTTAAGAGATATTACGAATCCTATTTATTTTTTTTGGAGCCCTTATTTTTAAAGGTCACAAAAACATAAAATCATATTGTTATGCCAATACAGATTCTTTACTCTGTTCTGCTAACAAAGAAGTTATCTTTGATAACTCAAGGGATTTTTCTCAAAGAAAAATAACAGCTACCATCCCGATGGAAAACTGCTTTAAAAATGATGGACTCTATAAGGCCATCAATTTTGCTAAAATAGGAGATTCTAGAAATCTACCTATCATGCAAATATTATCAATCCCCTTAAGAGAGATTAATATATTTTCTACATTCTTTCAGATCAACTCCGAATTTAGGATAGACAGTAAACATAAATCTACCACTGTAATAAAGTAATAGGGGTTATAGAACATTCATGTTCATATTGTATAGGCATCTTAAAAGAGACAACTAAATCAAATCACTGTAATACCTCTTTTCAGATCTGCAATTCCAAGAAGTTCCACAAGCTCGACGTGATTTTTTAGTTTTGGTTCCGATCTTTTCTYCCCCCAAGTACGGACCACAGCATTATTTGCCTAAATTTATCATTGGTAAGGCAAGGGTAAGTAACCCCCATTTAAAAATGCTTAATGAATAGGGAATGATCAATGTTGTCAGCTAAACATGTATTTAAAGAAACAATAATAATAAAAACATGCCCACCTCATCATTGCTAACAGGAACTGAATCATGCACAAGATTCCCAACCACCTCCAATTTTGAATATAATGCTGCTCGAGCCTCCTGAACCTCTATCTCTTTCTTAGCAGTTGATTCCTTGTTTTCCTCGGTATTTTTAATCTTGGAACTGGCATCTTCTCCGGCCTTAAAAAGAATCAATTTTGCAATTTAGYGTCAACTCCACACACTTGCACATGTTGTAATTTGCAAATTTACCACCCTACTGAGCTTATATTATGAAGTTGGTTGATACCCAAGAGCAGAACATATTTCTTCCACCCCATATAACCTCTTCTAAACCCTAGTTGAGTAACCTACACATTATACTATGTTTCCATCAAGCCATCTACAGATTAGTTTGCTTCCATCAGAAATTGAGAGAAGAAGCATTGAGTTTCAAGTGTTCAAACTATGTTTCATCATGAGAATTATATATGTTGGTTTGCAACTTCGTCTTGGATTTTAATACTATGAATCTAAATCTGATAGTTTTAAAGGGGTAGGTTACTGATTTGAGAAAGATCAGGGGACCATTTTTCTGGTTACCATTTTCTGAAATTTTGCATTATAAAAATACACCAAGATATTCAATTTAACCAGTTAAAGATCAAAGACTTACAATCCTAAGTTTAGCAACTTCTTTGTTTATCCTGTTAAAGTCTTTTCTCAACTGTTCCAGCTCAAATTGACCTGTAAATCAAAGCATGAAGAATGAACCACCAATCAAAACCAAATAATTGCATATATTGTCCAATCCTGATCCCCGAATCACATAAAACCAAAACAACAATCAATCAAAGTGAAGTGAAGGATAAGCTTACGTTGTCGCCATTCTTTGTCAAGATGGATAATTTCATCGACAATTTCAACACTTGCAAACCGACGACGCTGAGATTCGCGAATAATTTCTGGATTGTGGCCCTTTTCCTCCCTAAAGAGATTTATGTCCAACATGATGTCTCTTTCTTTTTTGCTTTCTGRTAAGGCGAGGAAACAGTTTAAGAGCTATAAACATAGATGTCCACCAAACACCCACGAGTGGCCATCACATCAAGCAGTAAATAAAACAACATACATGAAATATGCAACTAATAATTGAGAAATCTGTTGGAAAGGTACAGTGGTTTAAGAGTTAAATACATATATATGCGTACACCAACACCCACAAATGGCCATCAAAGCAAACAATAAGAGAAACAACATGCACAAGATAATATTAACAACTCTGACTTGAGTCAACTCAATGGAACAGCTCAAGGACCAGCTTTCCTAGGGTTAGTCTTAAAACAGATAGAAACCACAGTCCCAATACTAGGTATAATTCCCACTCTCATTTCTGAACATGATATATCAACCATCTCTACCTCTTCTTAAGATACTTCGAGACAAGGCACTTCTTTATCTCAAGTGGGCATCAAGAAGATTCCAAGAAACACTACTAACAAAACTATCCAATCACTACTCCCTCGTTTTCTATCTAAGAGTAATCTCATTCTCATCCYAAATTCGGCATGACTACTACACTTTATGTACAATGTATTATCACCTAGTGTGAGAAAATGCAGCCCTTTTCAAATCTCAAGTGCACCAAATTAAAGTAACAAAACCCATCAACCACGCACATGAAGAACAAGATAGTTGAAAATGTAATATGTTAATAGCTCGATTCTAATCTTGAACACATCACATGCCAAAACAAAACCCTAAATTTGACATAAACATGGACAGAATCAAATCCTTACAACTAAAACAAAAACAGCCTATGTAATTTGTAATTGAAGACATATGTTCTTGATAAACAAAAACAGACAGAACCACGGTGCCAAACATGCTAGGCATTAGTACAATTCTCATTTGTAACCAATATGTATCTACCAATTTTGTCTCCCTTAAGATCTCATTTTGAAAATAAGCACTTTATCTCAAGTGTGCATCCAAGGAGCACTACCAACCAAACTATCCCAAGCAACGCTCCCTTGTTTCTATCTAAGA